ATATATATATATATATATATATATATATTTATTTATTTATATAATTTCATTTTATCATCTAGTTTCTCCCTTTAATTTGATGAGTGTTGTTGTTTTGTTAGTTCTTAGTAATTTATAGGTTCTATACAAAATTAGAATTCCTTTACTTACTTAGTTTTTTTTTTCAATTTTTTATCTTATAGATCTACTAATGATGACATAAAATTAAATGTCAAAACGTTTAGAATTAAAGAATATTTTAAATCTTTGTTTTTGCTTTATTGGTTATATATATATATATATATATATATATATATATATATAATAAGTATAAATTTGGTTTACATTCCTAAGGTTTCCGTATCAATGTTCACCCGTTAGAGGGCGACGCGGCGCTTACGCGCTTCGATATTTTGTCTCTATGCAGTTAAAGCAGTACGATTGCTTTGAAAGAAAGTTCAAAATTTTCAAAATATGTCAAAATAAAAAAAACATTTTTATTTCAAAAATTTTTTTTTTTAAGAAAAAGTAATGTTTTGTCAAATTTATATGTAGTTTCTCAAAAATCTAATTATTTCGAAGATTTTTTTTTTTCAAAAATGTTGATAGTTTTCAAAAAATAACATTTTTTGGTACGGGAAGTTCCAGCAATTTGCCGTAAGGCACGATGCCATGCGCCCCACTAATTTATGCTTTTTTTACACTACATGACTTGCAATTTTAAAAGTCTCTGCTAGAACACTACTACTATGAAAATAAATAAGAATTACTACTATGAAAATAAAAAAAAGAATTTATATGGCAATAATTAGATCCGCAATGATATATGCTTCCCCTATTTGGTGTATGACAAACAAACATAATATTAAGAAACTACAATCAGTACAAAATGTTTCATTAAGATTTGTTATAGGTCAAGCAAGGAATTCGTATATTAGCACAAAATTCCTACATGATTCCACTAATGTACCATTAGTGAGAGATTTTATAACAATTATCTCTGAAAGATTTTATACTAATTGTTTATTTAACTTTACTCCTAATATATGTAATATTGGATCGAACGACAATACATATTGGTACAATAAGTACAAGCTACCATCATCAATAAAAAGATAATCAAGTATAAAATATGACAGAGATCAAATTACTCTCAAACTATTCCCACAGCATATGTTATTAGTCTTTTGACTATATTCCAATCATATATGTAATATGTATTCTTTTTGTTATTATTATTGTAAATATGGTTTTTAGTGATTATTTTTACCATGATTAAAAAATTATTTATAGGTTAATTTAATTTTTATTAGTTAGTATTAAATATAAGTTTATGTATTT